ACACTGAATACTGGATAAAGCGACGCCATGTACATCGCGTGACCACATCAGTTCTCCGATTGGTCAGTTTATTACGTGGATTCTGTAAAGTTACAGAGCAAGCTCTAAAATCACAGAATGCTTGTGTTGTCACATATTACTTTGTAAAATTACAATAATTTTTATGAGTAGTTAAACTGCACTCTGTAAATATAAAGGATATATTGTACAAATACATTGAACTCTGTATATTTCCGGAATATTGTGTTAATCCACATTGTATTTAACGTAAATATTAATTTACAGAAACAGTTCTGTAATAAATACAGAAGAAATTGTGTAATAACACATAGACTTTTTTCAGTGCAGTTATGTTTTCATGTGCAGCAACTACATACAGTGCTTGCAAATCCAAGTCCGACCGGTTTGTGAAGGACACGTGAAAATAACAAGGATATAACGCCAAACAGAAGGCGCTTACAATACGCACGCCCGACGCTCTGACCAATCAAATTCTGTTTGGCATTCTATCCTTATTCTTTTCACGCGGGTATTGAACAACCATCCTTCCCAACGCGGTCGGACTTGGATTTGCAAGCACTGTATACACAATATGAATCTGAATATAATCCGGTCTCAATTAAAATTGATCCTATTCTTGTTACGCAAGCCAAATTGGATCATATTGTAGCTATGTTGGAGCTATCACAACGGAAATCGGAAATGTTGGCGTCATTCCTAAATGAAAATAATTTGCTAGCAAGTAATACTAAAGTGACTGCCTACCGAAACCGAAATAAAGAAATGCAACAATTTTTCACTGTGAATGAAGAAAAAACGTTCGCGTATTGTGAAGACGTCGGGAAGCTAATGAAGGCTATGGATATTATTTACGAAAAAGATGATTGGCGCCTGTTTATAGACACTTCTAAAAATAGTTTGAAAGCCGTGCTGTTGCATAAATTAAACGAAAAACCTTCAATCCCAATTGCCTACATTACGGACACAAAAGAAACGTATGATAAAATGAAGTACATTTTGGAACTGGTCCAGTATAAGCAACATCGATGATATCAGTGGAGAATTTTTTGCGATTTAAAAGTTGTTGCTATACTCTCTGGATTGCAAGCTGGCTACACGAAATTCATGTGCTTCTTGTGTGATTGCAATACGAGATACACTGGTGACCAATACGCAAAGAACGATTGGAAAGATAGGAAGGACAGCGAATTTAAAAATTGTAATGTACGCGAAGCGCTTGTAGCACCTGAAAAGATATCAATGCCATTTCTTCATATTAAACTTGGAATCGTGAAAAACTTCTTAACAGCTGTAGCAAAAAGAGAGGACGTATTAATATGCTTAAGCGAAATATTTACCGGAATTAGTGTCAACAAGTTAAAGCATAGAGTTCTTAATGGTCCAGACTTAAGGAGGTTAATGAAAAATGAACGATTTGAAGTGGTTTTAGTGGGCGATAAATTAGTTGCATGGTATTTCATAAAGCATGTTATAACTGGATTTTTGGGCAAACATCGTTCTAAAAATTATGCAGAATCAGTGCGGAGTATGCTAAATGCATTTTCAACCATTGTGTACAATGTACATATGTCACTTAAAATACACTATTTGCATCATTACTTGCAAAACTTTAGCCGTCAATTGCCAACCGAGTCAGATGAGCAGGGAGAACGCTATCATCAAACTGCAATTCCATTCGAAATAAGGTAGATTTTTATTATTTTATTTCTTAGTTCATTTACAATTGTTATTCCGTTTAGGTACAGAGGAAAGAAAGCACCAGATGCTATTCTCGCTGAGATTTGTTGGTGGAGCAAGCGCAGGTTTAAAGACCGTGACAGTAAAAAAAACGAAAAAGATGAAGAGGAAACGAAAAGATTTATAGAAGAATTTGTTGCTTCGGACGATGAAGATTCTGATGTTGTTAAGCCTGCAGCCAAGAAAGCACGACCTTAATATATATTTTTCGTTTACTTAATTTTTTTCATTTTCTTGATTTTGGCTTCAAAAGATACACATCAGGTAAGTTTTTTTCGGGTTAATAAGTTCACAAAAATTGTTTATTTTTACATGAACTATAATTTTGCCACATAAATTTAGCAAAAAAGTAGAATACATTGCGACTTGTGTTCGAAAAAGTAATAAAAATTGACTATTTACGATATTTTGCTCAAAAACTCTATTTAGATGTAATTTTTGAGGCATAATATGTTAATAAAATTTGTTGCTGGCACTCTTAGCTTAAATTTTGCTAAAAAAAGTATGTCGCTATCTTCAATAGTTGCCGAGTAATTAGCCAAAAACTGAGCAGGTCAATTCACAAATTTTGTAAAACTTTATAGAGTCATAAAATAAAAATGCGAGCTAATATCGCAAAACAGAGCTAGGCTTTTTCTTATCTTAATGTATACTTTCGAATGTGCTATGCAAAATTGCCTCCATTTTTCAAAGCCCCCAAATTGTTGCACTGTGTAATAGGATTAAGGGGGTTATAGAGAGAATTGTTAACAAATTTGGATGACGGATTTTGGTAATTTTTCTTAGGGAGGATGTTTCTGCAACTTAAATGCTTTTTAAAGTGGGAGGTTTGCAATTAGGAAATGGCATGCCATACTCTATGACAGGTCTACAGGTAAGATGGTATATTTTGATAATGTTATTGGTAGTTATTCCAAGGTTGTCAACTCTTAATCTGAAGAAGTGTTTTGCCCTTGCTATTGCTCTCTTTTTTTTATTTGTGTATGGAGTTTAAGGTTTATTTTGTGATCTAGGAGTATACCAAAGTAATTGGTGGAGCTTTCTGTGTGAATAATATGCCCTTGTGAAGAAGTTGCGGGGTACTGGTTAGTAAAACGGTGGTGGAAGATTTAGAGATGAGATTTATTGGGATTAAGTGACAATCTCCATTGGGATATTGCGTTTACCAGGTTTTTGGAGGTTCGTCATAACTTGGGGACTTGGGGATTACTTTTTTGCATAAAGCATTTAATAAAAATAAGTAACTTATTTTTAAAAATAACTACAGATGACGCCCGTTTAAGGGTAGACATTCTTCCAGGCGAGCCTTGAAGTTATTTATTACATTTCACATCATGGGGGGGATTTGAACCACCTTCTTACGGATCCGTTCTGTTTATAGTGGGTTATCCTAATACACTTTAGTCTTCTGGGATTACAAGAAAACGGCACCAATCGATTTCGATTAATAGGCTGAAAAGACGGCTGAAAAGACGTAATCTTACTGGAGTCATCATTTTCCGAAATACTTTTTTATGTAATTAAAGGTGGCAAGGCCTTTTTTAAATCGTTTTTTATTCTGTACCCTGTATTATAAATGTATATTGGTTTAAACCAATTTCCCGACAAACCATTTTTTTGACATACATAGGTAGTATTTTTCCTTTACCTAATATTTTTTCCAAAATGTTTTTACAGTACTTTTCACGACTAGTAGTGGATTTTATGGTAAACAGCCGAAAAAATTACTGCCAGAAAAATGGTTTGTGGGGAGAATAAAAACCATATGGTTCGTCAGGAAAATAGTATCTTGGGATTTTGCAGTCGAAAAAGGGATAGGAAGGAAGCCTTTTACATGTAAAAGGCAACATTATAATGTTGCCTTTTATATGTAAACATGGCAATTGCCATGTTTCTGGAATTTAACAGTGTAGCTCTATTCTACTAGGAATTTATTGCTTAGAAAAAGTTTTGCTTGCTTGTGCAGGACAATATAAATTTTATGATTTTAAAAAACCTAGTATTTTTATTTTTGATTATTTAAAATTAAACCATTGTAAGTATTAAATTATTTATTATAAAACTTTAAGTATTATAAATTATATTTTACTAATCCTAAACTTTATTTTAGTAAATCACATATCTTACAATTATTTATGGCCAATAAGAAATTTACCAAAGAATTAAAACACTGCCGTGCTTAATGAAAACGCCGTAACCAACAATTTTGCAATTTTTGGTTTACGGCATTTTCTACTAGAAAAATTCATCCTGCGTCTATCCCCGGTACTCAAAAAACCGTATCTATATATATACGGTTTTTTGAGTACCGGGGATAGACGCAGGATGAATTGTTCTAGTAGAAAATGCCGTAAACCAAAAATCGCAAAATTGTTGGTTACGGCGTTTTCATTAAGCACGGCAGAACAGGTAAAAGCATTAATTATTTTTTTAAATTGTTATTGTTTTTCGCCACTTTCATAAGATAAAAGAATCTTTAAATTCCTAATATTAACATTTTTGTGGGAAAGAATATTTTGGTAATGTAATAAAATGTAAAATCATTTTCTCTAAAGATATTTCAAAATAATTATTATTTACAAAACAATGGGGTTAGGTTAGTCTGATAGAGAGTAGTCAATAAAAATAATCATGCCGTTAAAAAAAACTATTTTTGCAATCAATTAATTATTCCTTAAAAATATTCAAATTCGTTGCCAGTAATAATCTTTTAACTTGTTATAAAACCATTAACAGCGTATTTTAATAATAATAATATTAAATTAATAATATTATTTTTATAATTAAAAATATTCACCTAGTAACAGATGTTGGATTCATTCGTAAATCTTCTCTGTCACAATGTTGATAACTTTGAAGAGAGCGAGTAACGTCACGATGTTAAGATAACATGTCATGTTATTCAAAACAAAATCACATTTCACAATTCACAATATTTTGTGAGAAACGTAGGAAATTTTTGTAATATGAAACTCGTATGCGTAGATTCAAAATTTTCAATAAAAAAATAGGATATATGTCCCAACCCCATTGCATAAGAAGCATTTTTATTTTAAACAATTTGTGAATTTACCATCTTGATGACCATTTCATTTTTAGGTTTACTTTTTATGGACCAGCCGTATCAACTAAAAAAATTAAACTAATTCGGTTTCAGTGGTTGTAATTTTGACAAGTTTTTTTTTAAAATGTAAAGTTTTTTAAAAATTAGTTTATTTCAGTTACATTTATGCGAAAGAAAATAATTATGCTTAAACTTGAGCTATAATTTATCTCTTATATACCTATATAAAGTAGGATTGTTTAATCAAATGTAATGTCCATAAGACATTTAGTTTGTGGCTAAAATCTTTTAATAAATTTATGGTGGTTTAAGTTTATAAAATTTAAGTGTTTAAGTTTTTTACATTGATTGGCATTAAAAAATTCTTTAAACTAAAAAAATTGAATTAATACAAAATTATTACTAATTTCTTATTGTTCATGGCAGCCTAATCCAGCCGACCAATTGCACATTCCCCCAATAGGATCAAAACTCAAATTTTTGGGGCAAGTGTACTCCCATCCCAAAACTTTTCCGTTCTTTCCCATTTTGGCACACGAAATAAACTTCTTACACGACACAGGATGCGGAAAATTGCCCTGGTCCAGGCATTCTATGACACCGTTGCTGTGCAGCAATACTTTGCTGTGTTCTGGAATTTGTCCCAGTATTCCCATGTTATCGTCGTAGTAATCGTATTCCGAAAGAGGGCGGAATGTATTTGAATCTCCAGGGTTAATTTTGTCGAATGCCTGAGGTCTTTTCTTTTTTAGCAAGAATTTTGGTGTTGTGTATATCACTGGGGTGGTTGTAGTGAATCTTACTTTGCTATTTTGTCTTGATGGTACTGAAAATAAAAAGGAAAATTATTGATTTTAAAAGATCATGGATGTTTATCATTATATTTTTTACACACGGTACGCCGACGTCAACAATATTTTATGTTTGTTTTTTAAATTTGTTATTTAGTTTAAAAAAAATTGCTCCTCATATTAGTTTTCCGATATTTTGTTCCATAATTATAATTATAATTAGTCGCAACACCCCAGACAGCATTTTATGATTTGGACGAGAAATACAACATCAAAAAGAAGTTTTTATGAAGTTCTTAAAACCTTAAACTGCTCCACCTATCGGACTAATCAAGACTTATCAAAAAAAAACTTTTGATGAACCCTTTCTTCGACTTCGCAATTCTTCTTATAAGAACGTATGACTTCAACCAATTTAATAATCGCGGAGATCCTCTACCGCGCTAGAAGATCTCCCAATTATGATATCGATATCGCGATGTTTTCCATTCATTAAGGTTTGACCGCATAAATTCGAGAAATTTTAATACTGATCGGCCAAACGTCGACAAGATACGTCGGACAATCATCATCGCATGATTATCGCCGATGTTTCCTATTGATTAAGGTTCGACGTCTATTTCCTTTATCGGACACACAATGGAGCAAGGGACTTAAAAAGTTGTCATTAAATAAAAAAATTAAACAGTATATTTGGAAAGTAATTTACTTTATTTCAAGCATCAGTTGGTTACACTGTTTCAACCAACGATTCTTTTTTATGCGTTCCAGAGCTTGTTCACAGAGCGCGGATAAAAGCTGGAATGACAACACCAGCAAAGAAATACATAAGCCAGTTTCAAAGGGTCAAACAATAATAATTGTACATGCAAGTGGTGAAATGGAACAAAGTCGGGCGATGACCACTCAGAAATGAGTTACAATAACTACACAAAATGGGTAAAAACAAAACTAATGTATTAGTATACCCAACTTACCAGCAAATAGCGTGCTGGTTATAAACAATGCAAAACAAAGCAGAACTATACAAGTATACTTTAGTAAGAGCTCATAAACCCAAGCATTAAGTTTTAAGGCTTTCATATCACACAGACTTGAACCCTATCGAGTTGGTCTGAACAGCTTTAAAAATTATGTAGCTGAGAAAAATGTAAACTACAGAAGGAAATTTCGTAAAGATTTTTTAAAGATTAAGAGATCCTGAGTGTTTGCCAAAAGAAGTAACTTTAGTTACCCCAACAGAAGAAATCTCTTCTATAAAGAACTTAAGTTGACTTCCTACACAGAATATTCAAGTACTTTAACCCAGTGACGGCTGCTGGTTTTTCATATGCCATATCTCAGTTATTAGAGATGGGACCCACACCAAATTGTTTATTTAGTGTCATTATAAACTAATATAAAGTTCTGCGTAAGCAGAATTTAAATAGAAGTTTGAGAAAAAAAGACAGTTTTTGCCCCGCCTACCCTGCAGCCTGCCCCCCTAATAAAGATAATACAAATTTTAGTGGTGCAATTTATAATTTACCATGGTTTATTGAGAAATTTTAAAATACATTTAGAAAATCCAAATATTACAGATTTTATCTCATTTTATTTTTTTAATATTTTAGGAAAGGAAATAAAAATGTATTTAAAATGGTATAAAATCTGTAATATTTAGAATTTTTAATTTAATTTTGAAAGTTTGCGAATTAACTGGTGATATTCATGTCCGAGTGTAATCGTGATAAAACGCGATTTGTCACTCCATTTGGCTATACAAATATATACAGATACAAATCTATGCCTTTTATTTTGAATACGGCTCCTGCACTAACAAGAGGCTGATTTTAAGTAGTTTGGACATATCCGTTTGTGTGAATTTATACCTAGGCGATCTTTTAGTTTTCTTCACCACGTTTGACACCTCAACAACCAACAACGAATTGCGCATGTTTAAATTGCGTGTCAACATGAAAAAATAAATGTTTGTTTGAAACAATAGAAGTGAAGTATGTTGGACACCTGGTGGTGGTAAGTTAATCAAGCCCAATCCTGACAAGGTTTGGGTTTGGCTCAAACGACGTTTTATTCGCTCGTTCGCTGATGTGTCAAGAAAGCAGCTCCATGGACCTGGGGTCCTGCCTAAGAGGAGTATTTTCAAACTTAGAAGCTATTACTGACCACAGCTCAGATTCTTCTTCGGACTGACCAAACTAAGCGATACGTTCTAAAAACTAATGCCAGTTACATGATTGCTCAGACGAAGGGTTCCCATAAAAAACCCATAGAATGGGTTAAGTACCATTTTACCTAAAATTTGTGAATATAATACTAAGAGTACAATCTTAAACAAATATATAAACTTTCTGAAAAATAATCAATTATTTTGGTATACCTTTTGTGGTCCTCTTTGTGGTACTAGTAACAGGGGCAACAGAATACCTAACAGAAGACTGATTAGGTTTTCCTGTAGTACTTGGCACCGGTGCTTGTTGAATATCGTATAAAGCTATAGCAATATTTCCTAATCCAGTAGTTTCTCCGGCTTGTTCATGAGATTGCTGGTTGCTGGATTCTATACTTTGATCGGGATTTTCTGCTGGAACGATCGGTTTTAATGTTTGCAACAGTCTTGTGGATGGTCTTCTCGATATAAATTTGAAGCGTGGATCGGTTCTTGGTCGGTGTGTGGTGAGATTTTCTAAAAATATTACAAAATTAAAGTAATTTTCATTGCAAATGCAAACTGTAATAACGTTCTTTAAAATTTATTAGATTGACATTTAAATTTTTATGTAAAATACCAAGGTCTTCACGCAATTGTATAAATAAATACTTTGTGAATCCCTATGGCTATTGCTTAACGTTTAAACTGCAAGTATAAATTGTTGTAAATGTCAAATAATACTGTTTTAATTTAAATGTATTTATTTACTCTTAAATGGTTATATATAATATTTACTTTACAATAAAAAATATTACAATGAAATTAAATTATTTTAATTAATTAAGTTCAATTAAGTTAGGTATGTTTAAAATTACAAAATAAATGACAAAAGTGTTGAATGCACCGGAATTAATGTTAGTTATTTATATAAGTTATTTAGACTAAGCAATAACAAACTTTTACCATCTTCTTACTAGATTATTAATATTTCTTATTTTGAAAATTCAGATTTTATTACTGCTATAGGTATACCTATACCTATAACTATAGTTAAATATATTTTGAAATGGTTTGCTTTAAAAAGGCCTGAAACAATTTTCAATAAAAACATAGGGCATAATTTTATATATTAAACGATACATAAAAAGTACAGTTATAATAATTGTTAAGAGTAGCAAGTAAGGTTAGATAGATCTGACAGTAGTCGGGTTTTATACACATACAAATTTTAGTCTTCAGGCTATATTATGAATGGGCTTTATTATGAATTGGGAAAAAAATTACATATAAAACTGGCTTTAAACTCTTTTTTTGTTTGTCGTAGATAATGTTCACATAAATAAATCTCTATTAAACAGTAAAACATTGCAATTTTTCAGGGGCGTAGATAATGGGGTGATTTTTCCTTCTTAGGTCACGCCACTGGTCCTCTTTCATCAACTTCTGGCTAATCGATTTCTGCCAAGCTCCCTATCCATCTTTTTAAATAGTTTTCATTCATTCATGCCCTATCTTCCAAACTGAGCAGGAGCACCGTCTATTTGGAACCAGCTATCTATTCTGGTACAGACGGTAATTAATCGAACAAATCGTTTATAAGACCCACCTAAACTCGCTAAATGCTAAACTCATTCTGATAAGACCTAACACAAGTTTCCTTACGATTGCCTTCAGCCCAAACATGAGAATTGTGGTGATTAAAAATACCTATTCAAGTAAAGCCTAATCAAGTAGCCAGTTGTAAAACGTTCTGCACAGGCTGAAAATTTAATGATATTTATCAAGCACTTGCAGAACTGTAAATTTAGACGGCTGCCTGTCGAAAGCTCAGGAATATTCTGCCGTCCTGTTTTAAAAAGTGGGTATCTACATTTTTTATCAAAAAATAAGTTTTGTATATCGCTTTTTTGTTAAATTATCAATATTATTAATAGTTATTTATGGTACTAGTTTGCTATGTTGAAAATAAGTCACGCGAGAAAGATTTATAAATTCTCAAGTGACTTAGGAAACATAAAACACGAGTGGCATACAATGTTTTATCCAACAAGTGGAAGAAATCATTTTTTTATGAGATAATAATAAGGTTTGTGATCAAATAAGAGCGTCTCAGTACCCTATAAATGTAAGAATGACTTAACAGTGACTTTTTTACATTTTGGTCAAAGTAGGTTGTTTGTTTGGTTGCCACGGGCATGATACATTGTTAGCAAATGTATTGACACAGTTATCCCTGCAGAAAAGGGAAGCTTTTTTAAAGAATAAAACGTATAGAAAATGGACGAAACCGATGAAAATTACGTTCCTGAGGATATCCTTACGGAAGCGGAAGAAGCAGCGATGCAGATTTTGCCAGAAAAGTCCCGAGATGCTTAAGACAAGGAGTTCAAAATGTTTGAGTCAAGAATTCAAGGAAGACAAAAGGTATTGATGAAAATATTCTATTGGCTTATTTTTTATATTTGCAAAAAAATTTAGCCCCATCATCGCTATGGACCAAATACTCAATGCTTCGCTCTACTATTCAACTTTATAAAAAAATCGACATTTCAAAATATGGCAAACTAAAGAGCTTTTTGAAAATCAAATCACAGGGATACAAACCAAAGAAGTCCAAGACATTAGAACGACCTGAAAGAAGAAATAAGTTTTTGAACGAAGCTCCCGACGACGAGTACCTGTTGATGAAAGTGGGGATTAGCGGTCCTTGTAGATGCGATGAATTGGTAAATTTAAAAATAGAAAATTTCAAGACAAAGGGTAGTTTTGCCAGATACTAAAACCAAGAAATTAAAAAGTTTCACCATACTTGAAGAAGGATTTCGATCAATTTGTGTAAAAAATACATATCTTTGAGACCAAAGAATACTAGTTCTAGACGCTTTTTTGTTTTTTACAAAAATGGGAGGTGTACCAGCCAGTATGTGGGAATAAATACGTTTTCGAAAATACCTTCAAGAATTGCAATGTTTTTGAAATTGGAGGAACCAGCGCTCTACACCGCCTGAGAAGGTCTTCGGCAACTCTTTGAAGCGTCACGGAGGATGGAAGTCCTCGACTGTAGCAGAAGGATACCTAGAAGAATCGGTGCATAACAAAACACAGGGGTCCTCAAGGTCTTTCAAGAATGTACTCAAAAACTGTTTATGGGATATTTTTCGGGAACGTTTGGTCTCCTCAAAATCACTTTCATTGAAATCCCACCTGATCGGAAACAAATATTTAGATTTTTTTTATTTTTTGTGGTCATTTTTAAGAGATGAGGGACTGTTTGGTTTTCCAAATTAGAAAAAATGCCGGTTTCTGATATTCAAAACATATTTATTAAAAATTATAACCAGTTTCTATAAAAAATTAAATTAAATCATTTTAAAGTGTGACCCGTAACAACCTGTTAACATAACACAACATATAAACTATAAATGAAGTGATGAAAACTCTACTACTGCTTTTAGTAACAAACTACAGTATCTCTCATCGCTAATGTCATTCATTTTATACTTTTCCAAAGTTTTAAGGAACTCCCCCGGCTGTTCTGACCATTTACCCAAAGCTTCAATATTTGAGAATTTAATTTCATCTACAAGATGGTTTAAAGCAATATGAATTTTTAAAGTTGTTGGGATATTAGTTGCTTTAAAACATTTTCTAAAGTTTTCGATATCCTGAACAAGATCGTTTTATTTTAACTCTGATGAAAAACAATCATTAACAACTTTGTTCATGGCCTTAAAACATGAAATAAATGGCAAAACTTCCAAGTAGGAAACGCTACCAAGAATATCGCTCTCTACAAGCAAATCTGAATTTTGTAGGAGTTTTCTACATGCGTTTCCTTCGAATATTTCACTATCAAGGATAACTTTTTTGGCCATTTTAGAGCTTGTTCCCTTCCTAAAAGAGGAACCAGACCATTCCAAAAACAATGGTTTACGAAACCTTGTAATACATGCAGTTCGGGAATCAAACACTTGTCCAAAACAAGTATGTTTCGTGCTTCCTCAAATAACGGCTTATTGACGGCACTAAAGCAAAGCTTAGCAATTTTTTTTTCATTTTAAAGGAGACAAAATTTGTTGAAATGATCTTTAATATCGCCATATATGCAGAGTTATAAAACGATCTTGATCAGGATATCGAAAACTTTGGAAAATGTTTTAAAGCAACTAATCTCTCAACAACTTTAAAAATTCATATTGCTTTAAACCATCTTGTAGATGAAATTAAATTCTCAAATATTGAAGCTTTGGGTAAATGGTCAGAACCACAGACCACCAAAACAAATGGACGGCGCATTGCCTTTCAATAACAATGCTTTGTTTGCGGTCAACAAACGGTCACAGTCTAAGCGTCATCTTGTAGATGGGTTACCCATCATGGGTATATGGTCAGAACAGCCGGGAGAGTCGTTACACAGGGAGTTCCTTAAAACTTGCGAAAAGTATAAAATAAATGACATTAGAGATGAGAGATACTGTAGTTTGTTACTAAATAATAATAATAATAATAATAATATAAAAGCAGTAGTAGAGTTTTCATCAACTCATTTATAGTTTATATGATGTGTTATTGTTAACAGGTTGTTACGAGATACACTTTAAAATGATTTAATTTAATTTTTTATGTAAACTGGTTATAATTTTTAATAAATGTATGTTTTGAATATCAGAAACAGGCTTTTTTCTAAATTGGAAAACCAAACAGTCCCTCATCTCTTAAAAATGACCACACAAAATAAAAAAAATTAAAAAATCTAAATATTTTAAGTTTCAATGAAAGTGATTTTGCGGAGACCAAACGTTCCCGAAAAATACCCCATAAACCGTTTTTGAGTACATTCTTGAAAGACCTATTCACCTTTGATTAACCCTGTAAAAATACAAATTGCAGAAAAAATACAAGGTTCTAATGCGTCGGAGTCTTCCAGCACTATCAGCAGCTGTACCGATATGGGAGCGTCTGGTTCCAATGAACCAACGAATTTTACAATGACTTCAAATTCGAATAAACCGTTAGTGTTTTCCTTTAATTTCAATATCAATGTGAATTCTGCTTGTAATAGTAATAAATAAATAGAATACTAGAACACACTAGTGTGTTATTTGATTGTTTACTTGTCTAAAATGACATTAATAATAACAGTCATAACTGTCGTGTGTTGGATAAAGTTATTAAAGTAACGTTTTCTGTATCTACAGCGATTTTTAAGAAATCCTGATGAAAACAATGGGTATCCACACTTTTTTCAGGATATCAGCCGAAGTTGATTTTTAAATCCTGATTTAAAACAACATTTTACAAGGATTTTACTTCGTTTAAGGCCTACAATCCTTTTTAGGAAAAATGTTTGTTCATACCCACGTTCTTTTTTAATTTAACATTTCTCCTAAAACGGGGTATATATACGGTACGGTAATTCTCCTAAAATGGGGTATATTAATACCCCATTTTAGGAGAAATGTATATATACATGTTTAGACGAAAAAATACTTTTATTATAAGGTTGTTTATTTTATTTTTATAATTTACGTTTC